CCGGTAGCACACTTCATTCAACAAAGATGAAGGGACAAATGGGTGAAGACGCAGCATCACAATAAAGATGGACCAGATAAGTGAGCTTGATGTGGACAGAAATTAAGTTGATAGACGTACCTTTACCGGTTACGACATTCTGATAAGTTACTCAATGTCCCCAACCGTGAACCCGACCGATATCTAGGTCCCCAACTGGAAAGCATAGCTTGACTTTTCAGACCATGCCTCTTTTCATGCCATAAGGAACAGTCTTAGCCTTGCTTCACCCACTATCCCCTCAGGAAACAACGCGCATACAGAGTAATGTTACTCGGTGACATGTGTAACACATGCACCAGACAATGTAACCAATAGAGGTAAAGGACAATATCAAACTACTTTACTTTACTATACTAATATACTATACTGATTTTCAGTCAACGTGAAATGATACCTGGTCGTCTTGAAATTCCTACTCGGACAGCTTGAATTGCTGGAGGTATAGTGCGCAACCGTGATTAACGGAAACCTTGTATCTCACTTCCGTATTATGTATGCGATTGCCCCATCTGAATGGCGCAGTTTGGCGTGAACGCCGATATCCGAACACAGATAGTCGGCGTCTATACTTCCTCCCCTCCACTAACGGCACACATAACAGTAGGATATAACTGGATTTCATGAAAGTTCCCCGGAAGAGATATTGTGTTTCATCACAAGGAGGTGGTTCGGTTGTGATTAGGGCTTATAGAAAAAGGTTAGTACTATCCTTAAGTTAGTTTTCGGAGCGATAAAAAAGTAGTTAATAACAGGGAATTGCTTAGCTTTCCCTGATTTCTTTAATTTTATAATATTTCAACCTCAGAACCGAACGAAAACAAAGTGCAAAGTGTAACTCACCACTCAATACAGACATGTGTTTTAGCTCACCTTCGTCAATAGGGGAATAACTGCAACTCCATGTTCCATCTCCGTTGTTTTTCACTATACAAGCAGTTCTTTGTTTAGTCGGACTAACAACAATCGCTTTGACCAAACCACGGCCTTGTGGGTCGACCGGTTTGGCATCCACGGTGAACTTGGCAAACGATTCTTTCAATACACCTGCAATGTGATGGCGTGTGTTGATCGACAGAATGAAAGCGAGAGAGAACATTGCGTGAGATGTTGGAATGGAAAACGCCGGAAATAGGTCACGACCATGACCAACAACTACTTGTTACGGCCTAGGTGAACAAGTATATTTGAAACGCGGTCAAAGGGGCAAGCGAGAGACCAGTGGTGAAATGATTCTATTTTGTGATACTTGATCTCCAAAAGTATTAACTGAATGACTTTCAAATATACATCCGTGCATGCGTACGGATGTACGCGTGTATGTGGGGAGTCATGCTTTCACGCCGCCACGAACAGCCGAATGGTTTGGCCTAGTTGTTATGGCAACGGCAAATCAGATCGATGACAAGCAATGACAACAGTAGGATAGGTTGTGAACCGTAAAGAACCTAGTGTTTGTAGCATACCAAGTGTTTAGGTACTTGGTACCAAGCCATGCGAAACGATTAAAACTGGACGGAAATGATTCTAGTGTCATTTAGGAGTGACCTGGAGTGATTGGTCATGCTTTAAAAGCAAAATTAAGAGTAATGCCATTAGCTATTAATCGTTTCAATGAACACATCAATAAAACATGCTCTGTAAACAAGCATGAAAAAGCAGGAGTTGAAAACAATACATGCTACAGCCGAAGTGAGTCATTTGTTCAGTATTAGCATTCCAAGATTGTGCTGATGTTGATAAAAGCTTAAAGCACGGATTCGGCCATATCAGGCAACAAGCGACGAGATGAGGATAGATGGATCAGACGTTTCTCAGCTTCCTACCAGTTGGTTGTAATCCTGGTCCGTAAGCATGGACACGCGATACGTCTACGTGTTCACGACCAGGTGGTACAACTCGAACAGGGAATGGACTTCCTTTGATGTGTGTGTCTTTGTACAGTACGTTGACCACATAAGGACCCGGTTCAACTGGTAAATATTCCACACCGCATGTACCATCACCATTATCCATGTAGTTGATTTTCGCTTCCGCTGGCCCTTCGATTGTAACACTGAGCGGTGCAGGCGGAGCGTCTCGACTGTCAATTGTGAAGTGAGCTGGACGACCGGCTGTGGCTTGATGCAGCCCATCCCCATATGCCCGAACCAAGCCAGCAGCTTCAAGAGCACTCATGGGAGTAATGGCCGCATGCTGACGTGCGGTATCCACAATTGGGTATACGGCTTCCTGAACCGGAGGTGCTGGTGTCGCCTGAGTTCGGAACGGACTGCCCTTGACTGGAACTCCACCTACGTCCACAGCCACTGTGTGTGGTCCCACAACAGTCGGAGTGAATGACGGAGTGAAGCCATCT